GCAAACTACTAGAAGGTAGAAGAGGCATGGAACAGATTCATTCTCCCTCTCAACCCTCAGAAGGCACCGACTCTGCTTGATCGTGGCCTTCCAGCCTCCGGACCTGTGAGCAAATTAAATTGTTGCTTACTTCACCCAGCCTACGGTGCTTTGTACGGCAGCCCTAGGATATGGACAGTACTTTTCTTTGGGCTCTCGTGATGGCACTCCCTTGGTTTCCCTACAATTCCAGGGGCTCCTCTTCTTCCTCCTCTGAATGTTGGCCTGTATCAGAGCTCAGTCCACCCACGTGTTTTTTTCTAGCCTAACCTAGGTAATCTCAACCCCATGCGGATGATATCCATATCTAAACTCCAGGCTGACCTCTCCCAGGAGCTTCAGATTCCATTCTCTGGCTTCTCCACGTGGATGTCCACATATCTCAAACTGATCATGATCAAAACAAAACTCTTTAAATAATAATTTTATTTACTTATTAGGTAGGCTCCATGTCCAGTGTGGGGCTTGAACTCACGACCCCGAGATCTTGCAAGTGTCATTGGCTCTACCAACTGAGCCAGCCAGGTGCCCAAAACAAAATTCTTGATTCAGCTCCACCAAGCCCATCCTCCCAGTGCTCCCTCAATGGCTGCCCCCAGTCCTCCTCATCCAGTTGCCAAGACCCTAAACTTAGAGTCACCCTCACTTCCTCTTTCCCTCAACTCCACATCGAATCCATCAGCAAATCCATCGGCTCTACCTTAAAATTCATTAATTCTCTCCAGAATTGAACCACTTCTCACCACCCCCCATAACCTCCCTGCCCTGTCATTTCCCTCCTAGCCTTCTGCAAGAGCCTTCTCTGCTGCTTCCATTCTTGCTTCAAACAGCCAGAATGACCTTTTATTATTTTATAAAGGTTTTTTTTTTTTGAGAGTGTGTACGTAGGGGTGGGAGTGAGGAGGGAAGGGGGAGAGGGGGAGGGAGAGGGACAAGCAGACTCCAAACCGAGTGCAGAGTCTGACGTGGGGCTTGATCCCACAACCCTGAGATCATGACCTGAGCTGAAACCAAGAGTTAGATACTTAACCGCTTAACCACTTAACCCACTGAGCCACCCAGGCACCCCAGGGCACCATTTTTAAAGTGTGGTCTTTCTACCACAATCAGAATGACCTTTTAAAAATGTAAATTGGAGCGCTACAGTCCCTTTCTCAAAATCTTCCAACGGTAGTCCCATCACACTAAGAAGAAAATCTGGTGTTCTGTGAGTTCAAGTCTCTCCTTGTGAAGCCCCCTCTGGCTGCCTGGCCCCTCCCCTTCGCTGCCTCATCCGGAGACTCCGCGCTGTAATTCTTTGTTCCCGGGCCTCCCTCCCTAGCTGGACAGGGAGTTCCTTGATGACGGGATCCACATCTTTGTCATTTTCGTGGCCACACTGCCTGACCGCCCAGCCTGACCCAGAGAACGCCCTTAGTGTGGTCTGTTGAACAGAACCCTCAGACACAGTCCAGTCACCAAAATTACCTCCCAACTTAAGAATGCTGCCTCATAATTCTTAATCTCAGGAAACAAACTGAGGGTTGCTGGAGTGGTGGGGGTGGGAGGGATGGGGTGGCTGGGTGATAGACATTGGGGAGGGTATGTGCTACGGTGAGCGCTGTGAATTGTGCAAGACTGATGAACCACAGACCTGTACTTCTGAAACAAATAATGCAACATATGTTAAGAAAAAAGAAAAAGAAGAAGATAGCAGGAGGGGAAGAATGAAGGGGAGTAAGTCGGATGGGGAGACAAACCATGAAAGATGGACTCTGAAAAACAAACAGGGTTCTAGAGGGGAGGGGGGTGGGGGATGGGTTAGCCTGGTGATGGGTATTAAAGAGGGCACGTTCTGCGTGGAGCACTGGGTGTTATGCACAAACAATGAATCATGGAACACTACATCAAGAACTAATGATATAATGTATGGTGATTAACATAACAATAAAAAATTAAAACAAAATGCTGCCTCATTTTTGACCTTTCAAGTCCAATCTAATCTTTGCTCCCAAATCCCAGCCAGTCAGGTTATTTCATTTTTGGCATCTCTTCTTTTCCCTGAGCACCCCCTCTTCCTCTACTCCCAGCTCCCATCCCCGCCCCTTCAGGGTGGTTCAGATTTCTGCCTCATTTGGCCAAGAAATTTCCTCAACTAAGACTCTTGCCGGATTCAAGTTCTAACTTTTAAAAGGTCCACTGGGATTTGCCCAGAAGTGCAGTGACATCTCAAAAACCACTTGGAAACCCAGCAAGATAGGTAACACTTCCTACTCTTTACTACTGGAAGTCCCTTGGAAGCCCCACAGAATTTCCCAGGGTGAAACAGGACACCCCACTGCAGAGTTTTGAAAACTTCTGGGTGAGATGCTTGAACAAGGGTCACATGGCCTCCTTTTTCCATTTGGTGAGTTCCACGTTCTGGGCTACGGCTCTGCTCTCATGACTTCACAGTTGTAAGGCACCTCAGAGGTTCAGTTTCCTCTTTTATAAAATGTGGTTGGTTAAATACCACTAGGCGGTAGACTTCTTAAATGCAGATTATCTTGATTTACCTTTGTAACCCTCAGCCTGGTACATGGCCCAGGGCCCGGTGCACAACTCCATGAGCTGTATTCTTTGTGAATGGAAGCATGTCACAAGGTAGCACTGGTAAACACAGTAAACCTTTGTTGACAGAATGAATGAATGAGCCATATGGGCTTCTCATGCTGGTTGTAATGGAAAAGTGACATCACCTACATATAAAACACTCTGAAAACTAACAAATAATATACCAACTTAAGGGACTGTATTTACCTGAGGTTGCCCCAGGCTTGGTGTCAATCCTAGATTCAAATTCCAGGCCCAAGGCCTACTGGCTGTGTCCTTAGGCCACTAACTTAATCTCTCTGAGCTTGTTTCCTCATCGGTGAAATGGGGACACTACTGCTCACCGATCGAGTTGTTCTGAGGCTAGATTTGGCAGGGCACCAGTGCAGCTGAAAGGCACCATTTGTAAGACCACCAACCTGGGTGAAACTATTTCACCTTGTACACCAGCTGTTTTCATCGAAACATCAACCAATCTTGAAAATGCTAGTTTTTGTTTTTCTCAAGTGTCATTTATTAGAAAATACAATTCCAGAGAAAGTAGCAGACACAAGGATGTCTGGGAAGTGGGTACAGTACACAGACCTCTTTACGTCAGGGGCACAGAAGGTCAAAATAAAATGAGCTACGGGCAAAGAGCCAGTAACACAACTATGGTCCGTTCATCTGGAGAAGTTCCATCCCTGTCCCCACCTCCCCCACCCCCTTCCCCACAGTGGCTACTTGATCCTTGACATTTTGAACCTAAAAGAAAAGTTTAGGTTTCCTTGCTACCCTGTGGCTTCAGTGAATGGAGCTTCTTTCTCCAGTGAGGGAATGAGTCAGCCAAGGGGGGGATTTCTGATCCTTGGAGCTGAGAAGGAAGCTGGGGAGAGGCACAGTTGAGAGTTTCCTCGATTACCTCCGTGCCCCCCTCATGGGGTACATCCAGCCAAGTCTGCTTTAAAAAGTTCCTATCAATTTCGAAGTCTCTCCCTCTTTTTCCAAGGAATACAACCCTCTGGAGTAAAGCGCAAGAGTGAATTTGAAGTCCATCTGGTAGGGAATAAAGAGTCTAAGAGCTAAGAGCCCCGGTCTCTCCCTCCCAGCTCAGCTCCAGGGGATCAACCACGCCCTCCACTCCAGCCTCCTCGAAACCAAAGAACATCACTGGAATCCCCCACCCCAGGCCCCTTTCCTCCACTTAGGGCATCCCTTTGGCTCCAGACTAAATAGGTTTATGGCCCCACAGAATGAGGGAAATTCTTAAAAAAAAAAAAAAAAAAAGTGTGACAGAAATGGAGTTTGGGGAAAGCAGCACACAAAAAGGAGAGGTGTGGTGGGTTGATGGGACACCCCCCCCCCCCGGCATCTGCGGCCGAGAGGCCCCTGCCCAGGGCCGGGACACCCTTGGGTGGAAGCAAATCAAAGCTGAAGCAGCACTTTATCCCACCGGAGAAAAAGGAAGGGAGAGAGACCTATGGAGGAGCACCCCCAGCGTATCTGCGGGTACCAGACGGTCCCCAGGGGGGCCGTGAGAATGGAGGGGTAGAAGACAGTATTCAGGGCAAGTCCTAGCAAAGTAGGGGAAGATGAGATGAAAAACTCCCCCTGAGAGAGCCCAGGTCCCTGAATACAGGTCCTCTGAGAGCCCCATTCGGAAGGCCCTTCCTTACACACGTAGGTAGCACATCGCTCTCCTTTGGAGGCAAAATCAGAAAGGCCCCGCACAGGCCTCAGTCCAGCACACCCGCCCTCCCCACCCCTCCCTGACCTGCCTTCAGAGAGGGAGGGCTCTAACCGAGGACCCACTGGGCCCCTCCCCAAGTAAGTCCTATAGATAGAAAAACAAAAACGAAAAACAGAGAAGCAAACAAACAAAAACCTAAGGAAAAGTCCAATAAGAACCTTAATCATACAAAAAGTCCAAATAGTCTTCCTCTCTTGCCTTCCGAGGCATATGTGAAGTCCCTTCGCATGAGGCTTCCTGTCCAGTCAGGACAACATTACTATTTCATTTTTTAAAAATAAAAATAAACATAATCCACCCACCCTCCCCGCAAATGCTACTTCATACAGCCCACCCCACTCACCCCAAACCAGGCATTGCTCCCTTGACACAAGGTAAACTTAAAACTTTGCTGCCACCTCACAGCCTCCAAGGGGCTGCTCATCACAACGAACCCAAATTGACTTGGCAGAGGAGGGGACAGCAGAGAGCATCTTACTCTCCCTACCTCCTGTCACAGAGGCCCGATCCGCCCGGACAGAGGGGAGGCCCACCGAGGGCCCTGCCCCTTCGCAAGGAAAGGGCCCCTGGGGCAGGGGATGAGTCCTCTCCCTTGGCTCCCCCAGCAGCCTGGGGTCCTGGGCGGGGGAGGGGGGAAAGGGGAGGGCTCTGCTGGGCTCACAAGGTCTCGTGACTTCGAGATCCCAGTGCGAACCAGCCAGTCTTCTCCTGGGCCAGGTCCAGCTCTCGCAGACGGATGTGCACCTCCCCGAGGAGAACGTTCTCCCAGAATCCTTGCTCACTCAGCACACTCAGCTGCAGCTCCCGCTGCTGCAGGTCTCCCTTGGGGATCCCATCATACACCAGCTGCAAGCGCAGAGATTGGGAAGAGAGGGAACACAGAAGAGGGAGACGCTTAGGGCCATGGGGGTTTCATCTGGCCGAGGCTGAGACCACTGAGCTCCCCAACCAGAGTTCGAGGGGATAGAGAAGGCACCTGGAACCCGAGAAAAGCTTTAAAGAACTTCGTTCTTCGCTGAGGGGTCAGGCAGGTTAGGGCTTTGTACTGGGCCCACCGCTCATTATCGGCAAAGGACTCCTCCCCCTGCCCCCCCACCCCCACGGGACAGGGCCCAGGCCACGCCCCAGCTGTGGAATCCCAACCCTCAGGGTCAGCAAACTTGTTTACGGGAAGGGCCAGATAGGAAATACTTTAGGCTTTTGAGGCCATAGGGTCTGATCTATGTCAGGAGTATGCCATCCTGCCGCTGCCACATGACGGTACGTAAATGGATGGGTGGGGCCACATTCCAACATCACTTGACTTCCACAAACAGGTGTAGTCAGCTAACCCCAGCCCCTCTCCAGGGCATGCCTCACACACCATCTCATTGTACGTGGGGTTGCAGGTTTTCCGGGCCACTTTGGTTTTCTTCTTAGTGGTTTTCTGAGGGTCAGGGAGGAGGTAAATCTTGACGTAGGGATCCGGGTCATTCCCATCCTGGAGCAGTTGCTACAAAGGGAATGGAAATTTTTTTTAAATAAAAAAAAAAAAGATTCCTAGGTCTGTGTCTTTTATCACCATTCCTGTGATCACCACCCCCCACCCAGCCAGAGACTCTTAGCCCCCACACCTGGCTTCTTTTGGGGCACAGGCATGTACATCCCAGCTCACTCCATTCTGACAGAAACCTGTCCCATGACAATATGAGGTGTCCTACTAAAACATCAACCTGGTAGCCTATTATACCCAGTCTATACTTTTCATACAAATGCTCGGCCATGCCATCCCTTGGTCTGTTTTGACCGAGCCATCACGTCTCTAGATATCTTCCTGCCTGGCCCAATGTCTTTGTCTAGTTTGTCATTTGATCCAAGTAACCCCCAGGAGGTGGAAGATGAGTCACACAGATTAAGTGGCTTGCTGAAGGCCAGCCAATTAGGGCTTCATCCAGCCTGATCCTTTTAAAACTTAAATGAGGGGGTGCCTGGGTGGCTCAGTTGTTAAGCGTCTGCCTTCGGCTCAGGTCATGATCCCAGAGTCCTGGCATCGAGCCCGCATCGGGTTCCCTGCTCCATGGGAAGCCTGCTTCTCCCTCTCCTGCTTCCCCTGCTTGTGTTCCCTCTCTCGCTGTGTCTCTCTCTGTCAAATAAATAAATAAAATCTTTAAAAAATAAATAATAAAAATAAAACTTAAATTAGATTTTGTCATGCCTCTGCTCAAAAACCCTCCCATGGTACCCATCGCACTCAGGGTAAAAGCCTGACTGACTGTGGGACCCGGGCTCCATTCCGCTGCGCTCTCTCCAACCCCATCATCCACTCTTCACCCCTTTGTTCCGCAGCCTTCAGCCGCAATGACCCCCTGCGCTTCCCAACACACCCCAGGCAGGCTCCTGACTCAGGGCTTGTGGATTTAACCACTCCCTCTGCCTGGAACAAGCCTCACCTCCTTCCAGCTGTGCTCGAATATCTCCTCATCAAGGAGGGCTTCCCTGACCACTCTTTATACAACTGCCATGACTTCGCTCCATCCCAGCATCCGTCCTCTGCTTTATTGCTTACCAGAGCACTTAGCACTATCTGTTCAGTGCTCTGCATGCACTCTTTCATTTAACCCCCCCCCCCCAACTCTACCAGGCAGATACCAACACTATCTCCATTTTAATAAGGCTCAGAGTAAGGGCGCCTGGGTGGCTCCACTAGTTAAGCATCTCCCTTCGGCTCAGGTCATGATCCCAGGGTCCCGGGACTGAGCCCCGTGTCGGGCTCCCTGCCTCTCCTTCTGTCCCTCCCCCACACCCCCCACTGCTTGTGCTGTCTCTCTCTCTCAAATAAATAAAATCCTTTAAAAAAAAAAAAAGGCTCAGAGTAATTAGGCTACTCGCCAAAGTTGGACAAGTACAAGAAAGATAGAGAACCAAATGAAGACTGTGCGTATACTTACCAAGCCCCGAATATGCATCACCATAATGAAGAGTTTATTGTTTTTGTAGGAGATGGACAGCTTCACCTCCCCGCCCACCTTCCCGACAGGCCGGGCCCATGAGCCGTCTACAGGGACAAAGAACGCAAGAAAGGTCATGAGGCCAGTTTTGTCCCCATCTGGTGCCAGGCAGATGTTTCTGGTTTCTTCTCCCCACCCTCCACCCCCATATTTTCATGTTGGTCTCCTGATACCCCACGGGGGAACTGCCAGTTGATTCTGTGCACGTGATTTAGGACTGGGTGGAGATGGTCTGTCCAATGTGTGTGTATAAGCACCAACTGAATATCCTGTCCGTGGGAAGCCTGTGTGAGGAGCCATGGGCCCCCCAGCCCGAGTGGGAAACCAGATCCTCTAGCCAGGAAGCAAAGGAACAGAGACAAGTCAAGGGAAGAGAACTGGGAGGGGGTGGGGGCAGGAGAAAACTACCCCGGGAATGGTTCAGAGAGGTTGGCAGGAATGTGACAGAAAAGACAGTATACCTGAGGACTTAGGAGCTGCACTGGTGCCCGCAGCCTTCTCATCTCGGGGCAGGGGGTGAAAGAAGGTGTACACCAAATCACACTGCAATGGAATCAGAGACAGAGTCATTCTTCAATAAGACAACGGCCCCATTAAAAAAAAAAAAAAAAAAAACGAAAGGGACTATTCCAGATTAAGAGAGTCCTATGAAATGGAACCACCAAATGTAGTATGTACTTCTTGTTTGGATCATGGCTCAAATCAACCAACTGTAAAAAGAATTCGGGGGAGGACAGGGAAACTTTGAACATGGACCGTGTATTGGATGATATAATGATACTGTAGTTATAGAAGAATTTATTTTTCAGAGTTGCATAGAGACTATTTAGGGACATGTCGAATGTCATGATGTCTGTGATTGACTTTAAAATACTTCATACAAAAATAAGCAAATACGGCAAAACATTAACTGTTTAGGTGATGGACATATAGGCACACATTATACTGTTTCTCTGGCTTTTTCGTATGTTTGAAAGTTCTCATATTAACAAGTTTTTTAAAAGGAAAAAAAAAAAACCTAGGTCGTCACATCAGGTCAAAAAGCAGTCTGTTCTTCTCTGCCATGCCCTCCCCCATGGACACACACAGACCTCTCAAGCAGAGAAGTACCTGACCCAGCCCTGGACAGAGACCATGAATTCTACTCTTCTTTTTTTTTTTTTTTTTTTTTTTTTTTTAAATGTGGTTTCTTCTTCCAACACATCAGTTACTATTGCAATGTTTACCCTAAACTGTATTTCTTTTTTTTTTTTAAAGATTTTATTTATTTGACAGAGAGAGACACAGTGAGAGAGGGAACACAAGCAGGAGGAGTGGGAGAGGGAGAAGCAGGCCTCCCGCGGAGCAGGGAGCCCGATGCGGGGCTCGATCCCAGGACCCCGGGATCATGACCTGAGCTGAAGGCAGACGCTTAACGACTGAGCCACCCAGGTGCCCCTGAATTCTACTCTTCTTGAGAATGTTTCCTAACTGTGTCAGGGAAAACAAAAACTAAAATGTGAAAATACCTACCCTAACATTAATAGTGGGGGGAAAAATGGACATAATCTCTCTCTCAAGAAACAAATGGTTAAGGAGATTTTGGGATTGCAAGTCAAAGTATTAATCTGGTACAGATATTTAAAGTTGTGCTCTAAGAGTAATACTGAAGCTATGACCAGTATAAAATGGTAAGAGTCACATTTGCATATAGATAAATAGGAAGGAAAGATGGAAATGGGATGAGATGATCTGGGAGGGGACCTCCTGATGACTGTATTTGTTTTTATGCCCATTGTACCCCCAAATTGTAATACCAATTGTTTAAAAAAAAAAACAACACAACAACTTGGTAAATAAACACACTCAGCCTGCTCAGAAAACTCCTTTTCCTCAAGAACCCCTTCCTTCCCAAGGTTCTGATCACTCCTAGCACTCTGGGATGGCTTCTGATACGTAAATGTCTCTCCTCTCTCCCTGCTGCCGGTGGCATGCTTTCATTACATTTAAAGGCATGACCTGAGAGGCGGGAGCCAAGACCCTCCTCCCCTCTTCTTTCTTTCACCCCCCCTTCCCCTTCCTCCTTCCTTCCCCCTCTTATTCCCCCTCTTATTCCCCCTCCCCCTCCCCCTCCTCCTCCTCCGCAGAGTCAGACCCAAAGAGTCAAGTCCCGTCCTTGACCGCCAGGGGGCTCGCCCCCTCCCCGCTTCCCCCACATCCCCCCACCCCAGCGCCCCCCGAACAGAGGAGAACCCACCCACCTCGGCCACCTCGGGGGCTTCGTGGGTCAAGTGCCGGATGTAGCGGTTTAACTCCTCCCTCCGCCGCTCGGCCACCGCCTCCCCCCGGGAGCGTCCAATCACGAAGCGACTAGGGAAGCTGGCGAAGCAGGCGGGCCGTGGGAATGCAGGAGAGGCAAGAAGGGGAAAGAAAATGAAGAGGCGGCAGGCTTTTGTCACGTTTCATTTGCGTTTTCAGCGACCTGACTCACATTTCTCACCAGCCGGCCCCATTCCTCCCACGGCTCCCCGGGGCTGCGCCAACGACACACTCGGGCAGCATTTCACGCAGCAGTCCCAGGAACCCCAGACAAGAAAGCCGAGCTGTTGGGCAGTGCTAGGGCTCCCCCAGAAGTGCCTCGGGGCTCTGGAGGAGCCCGCAGTCTTTCCCATCAGGGTAAAAAGTTCACTTGAAAATTCCTTTTTTTTTTTTTTTAAAGCAATTGCTGTTTTGTTTTTTTTTAAAGATTTTATTTATTTATTTGAGAGAAAGAATGAGAGAGAGAGCTCATGAGAGGGGGTAGGGTCAGAGGGAGAAGCAGACTCCCTGCCGAGCAGGGAGCCCGATGCGGGACTCGGTCCTGGGACTCCAGGATCATGACCTGAGCCGAAGGCAGTCGCTTAACCGACTGAGCCACCCAGGCGCCCGAAAATTCCTTTTTAAAAATGTGTGATGACACACACAGGAGATAAAATTTACCATCACAACCATTACAGTTCAATGGCATTAGATAGACCGTATTGTGCGACCATCACCACCAACCATTTCCAGAACTCTTTCATCTTGCACAACTAAAACTCTGTACTCATTAAACACCCTATTCCACCCTCCTTCCCTCCCTCCAAGCCCTGGCGACCACCATTCTGGTTTTGGTCTCCAGGAATCTGACTACTCTAGAGACTCATAAAAGTGGAATATTACACAGTATTTGTCTTTTTGCGATTGGCTTATTTCACGGAGCATAATGTCCTCAAGTTTCATCCATGCTGTGTCAGAATTTCCTTCTTTTTAAGTCTTACTAATATTCCATTATATGTATATGCCAAATTTTGTTTATCTATTTATCTTCTACTCTTCAAAAGATAAGAAACTTTAAAACATCTTCAGATCCAGTTAGTCCTCTGCCTTTCGCCCCAGTTTTCTCTCCCGGCAGGTGGACCCAAGGCTCATTTTCAACGTTGGACTGAGAGAGTCAGGAGATCCTGGCCAGCAGGGGGCGCACGTGTTACCACCCTCATTGCCAGGCCAAGAAAACCAAGCAAATCTTGGAAAGGGTAGTTTTAGGATCCTGCGATCCTGCCGGCCCCCTATCCCTTCTCCCTCCCCAGGATCCCCCTGTGCGAAGAGGAAAGGGGGCAGCTACCTGGGCAGTTGGGAAGAAGGGAAGAGCAGCCGTAGCTTATTGTGTAATTCCTGGAACTCCTCAAACGTCCGTTGGATGTAAGTGGCCTCATGAGTGTTCTCTCGCATCACCTTTATTACATAAACCTGCAAAGGTCCAAGTCTTAGAGAATACCTGCCAAACCCCGTGCACTGAATGAAGGGAGTGGGTGAGGGAACAGAAGAGGGAAGGGGTGTGTGCATGCGTGTGCTGGGGGGGTCCACTTTCCAGAAGGAAAAGTGCAAAAGTGTCTCCAAAGGAGAAGATGAGACAGATGTACATTTGTCCTGCACATGTTTCATAGGACCCCTGACCCAGACGGAACAACCATGCAGTTCAGCCCCGATTCTAGCAGCCCCCTCGGGCAGGGGAGAGGCTCAGTCTGTGACTGCACTGCACGGAGCTTGGGATGCTCACAACTCCAGTGCCCACTGTGCGGATGTGAAGAGAAAGTCAGAACCGCAATATGCTGGGGGCGGTGGGGAGCAAGACAGGGTCAGATCGGAGAAAACACTTACGTAGCCCTTGTTGGGGTGGAAAGTCTTCTCGTGGCGGCAGAGGAAAACATCACTGATGCGGCCAGAGCTCTTGAGTGTGTGTGTTCGGGGGGCAAAGGAAAGGGTCAGCCGGTCGTCTGAGCCTGTGAACTTCATCTGAGCCAGGTTGTGGATGAAAAAATTGAGCTTTGTGGCTACACTGCCCAGGCTGGACTCAATCAACCTGTTGGTGCAGGAGGATGGGAAGAAAAGGATGTAACCACGGACCCAAGTCCCCACTGCCTGGACAGAGCGATCTCCATGAGTATCCCCGGACTCCTGAGCCTGACACTCAGCTCAGATACAATCATTTTCCCTGCGTAATACCCTAATAGAATGCTTGACTGGCACACAATTATCTACATGCAATTTATTCATGTGAATCCTGGGGTCTTATCTCCCCTCGCTGCCCTCCTGAACCAAAGACAGTTAAACCAAGGTAGGAATTAGGGATTCCACCATAGGGTCAGCATGAAAATGTCTACATACAGGAGACCTCCAGTGCAGTGGAATCTTACCAAGCACCGTTCAGTCTAGAGATTTCAGATCAAAAGGGAGGTTCTATGTGAGACCAACAGAGAAAATTTAGTTCGCCAAGTTCCAAAAAGAGTGCATGATAAAACTGAGGCATCGCCTACACGAACAGAACTGTAGACATGAGTGCAGAGATACTTCCTTGCTTCCATACCGTGTGCCTAACAACACTGCCAAGTATGGGAAGATGGAACCATGGAAGACCATGTTTTGGTAAGTGCAAGGGTTCTGATCCAGAGAGCTGAGGACTAAGAAAACTCCATGTTTGTCCCATAAACGAAGTCTTTGACCAAGACCTGGCAAGAACGTAAGAGATTGCTATGGCTCCATCCACAAAGGTGAGCACCAAAGTACAGACAGAGAACGGAGTCGGGGAAGTCCAGTGATTTCCCTAAGTCAGAGGCGAAGTTAGGACAACAGCCACGTGTCAACTGTAGGCTCTGCCATCCGAGCTATGCCTTCCCCGTGTCCCTAGCTCCACTCCTCCCCATCGGGCAGCCTGGAAATGAAGGACTCGGGGTGGGGGGGGAGCACTGTTTTGTGCAAGGGGTGTTACCTGGTGAAGTAGGTAGTAGCATTGGCTTCTGTGTCCTGAGGCCTTAGAGCATCATAAACATATTTGAGGTCCTCCAGGTCTGAGAGCTCGGGGATCCCACAGGACAACATCTAGAAGGAAAGCAAAGATGGAGAGAGGGCACCTGTAAAACCAGACATTCTTGCTCCTTCCCCCTAGAAGGCCAGATTTTCTACAGCTAGGCTCCCTAACCCTCCTAGGGGGTGGCAGACGGATGCTGTGGACGGTGGCTAGAAGGCCACAGGAAGGGAGGGGCTGGGGCGGGAAGTCAGACACCGCACAGACACCACTGTTCCCAGTAGTCTGGGCCCTGCCTTTATCTGGACCTCAGAGAAGCACATCTCCAGAAATCCTTTGAAGCAAGACAGGGGCGTCTTAAAGATGGTGCCAGATGATAAGAAGGAGGGGTTCAGAAAGGGATGGAGCTCCTCACCAGGCCCAGGAGGTTGAGGAAGAGGTGGGTGTGCTTGCGAATGAGGTTGTAGGCTTGGCAGCAAAGGTCAACAAAATCATGGAAGCGGCTGGAAGGCTTGTCACCCCCGTTGATGACATACGCCATATCCGAGGTGAAGACAAAGGGGGCACGGTCCCTGGGCCGAGGGGAACATACAGGTAGAAAGTCAGCATGGAGGAGGAAGCCCCCCACCTTGTGGGGTACATCAGAGAATGCCCCTCATCACCTGTGGGAACCTGGAGAGATGGGGCTCTCCCTAACTGTTCCCTTTTGCTTTTCCTACCTTAATCTCAAAAGATCCCCAGAGACGTCCTTCATAGATTCCTTGTCTGTGTGCTACCAATATTTTTTTCCTGGATAGGTAACGATTCCCTTTTGCTGTGGTTTGGGCTCATTTCCCCTTGCTCAGGCCTCAGCAGGGAGGAAGAAGAGCTGGTCCCCACCTTCTTCTGTGAGGCCCTGCAACTACTTGACCTCTTTCTCAGGCTTCGATTCTCCAAAGCTGCTCAGCCCAGGGGCTCAAGTGCAGCCCACTTCCATGAGAGGCTTGTGTTCAGCCCAGAGCCACTTCTACGGACCTCCCTGCCCTCCACATGCAGCCTGGCTTCAGGAGACCACTTACCGCTTGATGTTGCCGAACATCTGAGCATGGCCCAGGAAGCGGCCAAAGTCTATGTGGAACATGTGGCCAGTGGTCTTCAGCATGATATTGTCATTGTGCCGGTCACAGATGCCCAGGACATACGTGGCCACGCAGCAGCCAGCACAGGAGTAGATGAAGTTCTCCACAGCCTGGGGCGGGGAGCAGGGGGAGGCAGGCAGATGGGAGGAGAGGACAGAAAGCTGGCTCCGAGGGACTCCAAGGGCCACGGCCAGCCTCAATCCAGCCAACCCTGCTCTCATGCACACCCCCACGCACACAGACACCTCTCTCCTGTCTCACGGGCTGTAAGGAGGTGGAAGGCTGGTGTGTGTATCTCCACCACTTTATCTGCCATTCATCATCCTCTGCACCTTTCCTTCTTCTAGGAAAACTGATTGGAAAGACTGAACTTATCTGGGAGCCCTGACTTGAGCAGCCCTGACTGAAGAGACCTTAATAGACAGGAAGACGGATGTTTACCACGTTCCCAAACAGTTGTGACTGGTTCAATTAAAGCACAGCCCTGAGGCTGCCGACTTCTGGGTCTCTTCCTGACCCTGCTCAGAATTCTCCGGGCTTCTCCCTGCCCCGTAGACACCTTCCATTCCCAGGGTTCTTGGTAGCAGCTAAATGCTAATCTAATCAAAGCCACTTCACTCCAAAGAAGAGCTGAGGCAGTTCAACACTCCTAGGAGGGTTTTACACTTGAAAATCAGACATCTCTAGCTGGTAAACTGTGTGAGAGATATTTTTAAGTATAAAACAGGAGGGAGGGGTGGCTAAGATCCACCTTATTTCATCTGGTCAACATCTGTCCCCTTCTCTGTCTCTCTGAGAAGTACAAATAATGGAATTAGCAAATGGATACCTTTTACCCTCTGAATCCTCTTTGTGAGGTTTATAGAATTTCTTAAGAATTGAAGAAAGACTCATCAGCAGAGGGCAAAAACTGGCACACAGCTGACAAGGAATGTTCAGACACAGACTTGAGAATGAGAGAAAGCTTCCCGGAGAATGTGTGCTCTCCCTGCCTCTCTCTGCAAATTTCCCCCCCTCCTTCAGGGCCGGGAGTCCCAGGCCCTTCCAGCTCCCACAGACTCCTCCCCCATTGAGCCCCAACAGCCCCACTGCCACTGGCATTCATCCAGCACTCACTCTTTTCTCTCCCCAGGGTCTAGGGGTCTTATCTCCCAGCAGCTTCTTGACCATCCACAAGGCCTATTTCAAAACTAGCCACATGGAACCCCCTGCCCAGTCACTTGTCTAATTAAGCCAGGTGGCGAGTCCACAGGAAGCTAAGAACAGAACGTCTACAAAAGAAATCACAGAATGCACCTTCTGGAAGGAAAGGACTATTTCCCAGACAGAGAAATAGATGAATGAAGAGAAACCACTCAGTCAGGAGTACAACCCAGTAGGAGAACTTCCCAGTCTTGACCTTCATCTCCATCAGCTTGTCTTCTGCCATAGATGTTCTTTCTACCTGAAGTGTATCCTTTCTCTTTTCTTCCTTTCTTCCTTTCTTTTCTTCCTTCCTTCCTTCCTAAGATTTTATTTTGAAGTAAGCTCTACACCCAATGTGGGGCTCGAACTCACAACCCCAAGGATCAAGAGTTGCACGCTCTACCGACTGAGCGAGCCAGGGGCCCCTACCTGGAATGCATCCTATCTTGACTCACAAAAGAGCTGTATGGCTGTGGGTAAATGACTCGTCTCATCACCTAAGTTACGTGGAGTGTTGTTAGCTGCAGGAAGTCTCGCCAGACCAAGGGAGCTCTCCTGATTTAAGGGGTTTTCACTTGAAGGATGTGGGCAACTCTCTTTGCTCAGGAAGTGGCCAGAAGACAAATGGTTCTAGTTCCTTCCTCCTGGAAGTCAGTGGAAGAAACTACCAGCACTGTTCTAGTAGAAAGCCGGGAAGAGCTGACAGGCTGCGTTTGGAAGACTGATATTAAACACAAGGACAAAAAAAAAAAAAATAAAATAAACACAAGGACACAGAGTGAATTTCTCTGTGCATTCTTGTCCTGCATCCTTCTATCATATTTATTATAACTTTCTATTACATTGGCCGGAAGATGTTGTAAGTCCAGCACCAAGCACAGTGCCTCTGTGTGGTGGCCATTTAATACCTGAGGAATACATGTTAGTGGGGTCGAGGGTCTTGTGATTGACAATATACAGAGGGTAGGTTTTGAGGGATGGGGAAGGGAACACCTGGTTTTCCAGGCAGAAGGAACACGATCATCTAAAGGTATCGGGGAAATAGAAGGAGCCTCCTAGGCTGGGGCATAAGTTATCATAAGAGGGGAGCTGCAGGGGATGGGACTGCAGGGGTAGGCCGGGCTGGATTCCAACAGGCTTTGTGTGCAACGCCATGGATGTTGGACCTGTGTTTTAGGACATAGGGAGCCTTTGAAGAACCTAGAGTAAAGGAGTGACATGAGCGGTTTATACTTTATTTAGAAAACAACCTCTGACTTCAAGCAGAGGATGGCAACAGAAGGAAAAGCATTCTAGACAGCACATAGCTGAAAGGAATAGAAAGGAGAGGACTGCTGTGAGAGATGCTGGGGGAGGAGAATCAACAGGGCTTGGTACAGCAGAGGTGAGCCAGAAGGAAGCGTCAGGAAGACTCACGGCTCTGCCCTGGGTGACGAGATAGAGACTCACACTATTTACTAACAGGAAACACACAAAAAAGCAGGCTTCAAGAAAACGAGATGGAAAGATTGGGTTTGCCTGTACTGAGTTTGAGGTATGCATGAAGTTCAAGTACAGACACCCAGTAAGCAGATGGCTCAGAGCATACAGCTCAAGGGAGGGAGGAAGGAATGGCTTTGGAAGATGTCAGCAAACGGGTGGTACTTAAAGTAATAAGAGCTGATGAGCAGGCACGAGAATTCAAAGAGAGTACAGCAGGCCAGGAATGAAATCCTGGGGAATGGAACATTTAAGGCCATCTAGGATCATCTAATTACATGTTCACTAAACAAACATTCTGATTATAATTCGGCTGTCCATACAGGTTTTCCCTCCGGGATAAAATGCACTGATCAATATACCTTAGTATCGGGTCCCCTTAGAAGTTAAATTATATAAATGGGCATTTTGGCTTATAGCCCATCTCTTATGAGTTGGTTATTAGGACTGGCTCCCCTCCCCCAAACTCAATAAACACAGACTAGCACCACGAAACCGTGGACCAGCCATGCACCACAGCAGGCCACCAAAGCCCTACCACCTAAGAATGCTCCTCCTAAGGACCAGGCCAACCTCCTTTTCTATGACCTCTGTCTCCTCTCCAGCCTTAATCCTGGCTTCTGCTTATTTATAGCCTTGCCTCAAACCAGCTCCATAACTGGGAACAACTGAGTGGATCCTAATTCACATCGTGAAAAGAGGGGTTGGATAAAAATGATCTCTAAAGACGATGAACTCTGAAAAACAAACCGAGGGTTCTAGAGGGGAGGGGGGGTGGGGGGATGGGTTAGCCTGGTGATGGGTATTAAAGAGGGCACATTCTGCGTGGAGCACTGGGTGTTATGCACAAACAATGAATCATGGAACACTACATCAAAAAATAATGATGTAATGTATGGTGATTAACATAACAATAAAAAATTAAAAAAAAATTATCTCTAAAGTCTCCTCCAACTAACTCTTGTTCTACAAAGTGCCACTGAAGCCCTCTGAGGGCACAGGACGAACTGAACAGGAGCCACCATTAGGAGAGATCCAGGCAGTTTCTCAAAAGTTGGCCCCCCTCCTGCTCCCAAAGCTCAATCTGCGGGGGTAGGGGGTAGGGGGTAGGGGGTAGGGGGTTGGGGGTGGGGCTCAACGAAGGTTTCCCAGCTGGACACCAGGGGTTTTTCTCAGTCCCCTTACCACAGTCATTTGACCCGAACCCTAACTATGGGGAGACACCTGTCAGCCCAGCGTGTTTCTTCCCTCCCGACACAGCTGAGCTGTCTCCTCTGCGCACGCGCAGGCCTTGCGCTCACACAGCCATGTGCCAGAGTCAGCCCCACCCCGCCCCCAGCCTCGCCCCCACCCCCAATCCTACCTTCTCATACTCGTCCTCCCCGGGGTTGTGTTTCTGCAGCCAGTCTGCCAGGGGCCGGTCCTTGAAGGAACCAGTCACCCCGTGCTCCACCTGGATCTTGCGCAGCGTCTCGGCATTGGGGATCATTTCCACCATCCCTATGAGAGGAGGCATGGGTGTGGTGCTCCTGGGCAGGGCCAAGGGGGCTACGGGGAGACAACTAGGGAGGTCTGCTGGATGCTTCCCTATAAATGAAGCCCTAGGCTATTTGGACAAAATCTGATAATCAGGGGAAAAGGGTAGTAGGAGAAAGAATACCATTCCCAAGCCTCACATTCCACGCTGGGACATTGGGGCTCTTTGGTCTTCCTAGTTCATTACTGCTGTTCCTTCTTTCTGACTTTTACTACTGGAATTTTCAGACATACGTGTGTGTGAACAAGGTTTATGAATAATTATTCATATATATGTATGAATATTTTTTTAAAGATTTTATTGACTTATTTGACAGAGAGAGAGAGAGAGGAGAGGGAGGGAGAAGCAGGCTCCCTGCTGAGCAGGGAGCCCCATGTGGGGCTCAGTCCCAGGACGCTGGGATCATGACCTGAGCCGAAGGCAGATGCTTGACCCACTGAGCCACCCAGGTGCCCCTGTATGAACAATTTATACACACACACACACACACACACACACACACACACACACACACACGAATAAAGAGAATGGGATCGTGAACTCACACATAACTGTCACCCAGTTTCAAAAATTATCATTTTGCTGATCTAGTTTTACCTATTTTACTCAGCCAACCCTGTTTTTTCCCTCCTTACTGGAGTATCTTTTTTTTTTTTTTTTTTAAGTAAACTCTGAGCCCAACGTGGGGCTTGAACTCACAACCCTGAGCTTAAGAGTCACAAGCTCTACCAACTAAGCAAGCCAGGCACCCTCTTACAAATCCCAGACATGTCATTTCACTCATAAATATTTCAAGTACAACTAACAAGGACATAACCACCAGATCATTGCACCCCAAAAATGAACATTCATTCTTTAACCCAGTCTATACTTACATTTCCCCCTATTATCTCAAAATATACCTTTTCACAGTTGGCTGGTTTGAATTAGGACCCAAAGTCTACATGACATGTCTGGTGGTTATGTCACCAAGTCTGTTTTACTTTATTCCAGTTCCTCTCTCTCTGCCCTACCTTCCTTTTTTTAATGCCCTTCCACGGCTTCTATTGAAATAACCTTGCCAGTTTCGTTTTTCTGGAAAAGTACAGAACTCATGCTGGGGAAGGGGAGAAGGGCAGTAAGCAAAGGGGTGCCCTCCACACCAGCTGCCTGCTCACAGTCCCCCCCCCCCCCTGCCCCACCGACCTCTCCCCCGGCCAGTGGAGAAGCAGCGGAAAATGACCATGCGCATGTCCAGCCCCTCTTGGACCCAGATCTTGCTCATGATGCGAATCATTTGCAGGGTTAGCATGTCCTGGCGAAGGTCGTCCCCACACTGGATGAAGAAAGTGAACAGAGCTCATCTCCATTGCCTCCCCTGGCCCCCAGATGCTCCAAGAGAGCCACCGTGGCCCAAAGAATGACAGGGGACTGCCCAGTTTTCCCACCTCCCATCTCCGCTCACACCAGGTCACAGGACCAGAGGTGGGCCAGCCATCACATTTGCCCCTGCGGTGTTCTGGTTCTTTCTTCAACCCCACATCCCCATCTGCACTGAATTTAGATTCCTGATCGTCAAGACTCTTTATTTAAAACTTGAGTGTTTATACCTTGGATTTGGAACTGACGCACAGCCAATATATACATTACACAGTGGCATCCATGCATCTCCTCTCCCCCGCTGGATTACATGCTCTCAGACTACGGTTTACTTCTCAGAATCATGCACGTCTTGCATCAGTTAGGATGGACCTCAGGGTTCACCTAGTCCAATCTGCACCTGTTCTCTTAATTTCCTCTTCAACACTGCTGCCATGCGGCCATTCAGCCTCTGCTTGAATACCCTGGGGTACAAGCAGATCGCCACTGTATCTATTCACTGTTGGGATAGCTCTGCCTCCTAGAAAGCACTCTATCCCAAGAGTGAATGCCTCGCTACACCTGCCAACATTCTGTTCCTAGACCGCTGGGGCCACGGAGAATTAGTCTCTTTCCTTGGTCACCTGATCATCTTTCACATGTGCAAATGGTAGCACAGAGTAATAGCAAGAGACCTGCCCTGGGGCTGCCCCTGCCACCCTTCGACCCCCTCCTCCCCTCCCCTCTACCACCTTCATCATCACACCAGGCTTGTGAAGTGTCCTCACCTTGAAGATGACACGGATGTTCTCGCCCAGTGGATCCACATTTTGGAAGGACAGCTTGAGAGGGACAGCGTTGGAGTTGAAGTAGGAACAGTCCTGCCACGGGAGGGAGGGTAGTGACAAGGGTCAGGAAGGAAAATGGCCTCTGCACCATGGGTCAAGCTGCTGCCGCTGGTCCACCTGCTCGTAGTTTCTGCCAGATTCCTCAGGAGCCCACGCTCCTTCCTTCCCCCAGGCCAGTCTGTTACAGCCTTGGCTCCGGGGCCTGTTCTCATGCCTTCGGTGCCTTTGGCATACAACCTACTAGGATAGGACTCCCACCGACACCTCAGTCTACTCCTCTGTAAAATGGGGATTCCAACAGTACCAACTTCGTAAGAGCTGTGAGTGTAAGATGCAATGACTGGCATCAAGCACTCAGAACAGTGCGGCACAGAGGTGGCGCTCGGTGGTGACAGATGACAGCTACAGTCATTGTCACCAGCCTGGGTCCTGTGTCATCAGGGGAGACACTTACCCAGCCCCCGACCCAATTCCTCCACCTTGCACAGCTGTCAGGCAAAAGTCCGTACACACTAGATCTGGAAAGAGGCCCCAGATATGCCTCTCTTCCTCCTCTCAATAACCAGGGTGGGAAGACCTCGCCTCCACTGAGCCCTCCCTGCCCCGAGAGCCCCAAACCCACCAGTCACTCACCCTGGGCACGATGCCCTTAACCAGCAGACTAGGGCTGAGTGGCAGGCGGCAGGAGCCGATCAGGGCAAAGAACTGCCTCACCTCCTCCAGGCCCGTGCGGAGGATCCCCTGAGAGGGAGGGGAGAAGGAGAGTACGGGTGAGGGGGGTGCCCATGGGCTCTACTCAGAACCAGGCCTCTCCCAGGGGTGGGCGCCCCTGTAATGGCTGGGATGAAAATCACCATCGGAGAAGTATGAACAACCCCCAGGAGACCGTGAAGAAGGAAAACTACCCTGGCCTGGGGTATCGCGCCCGGGACAATGCATGGGCAGCAAGCCCAGACAGCTTACAGAGGTGAGGCAGATGACACCCCTAGGCAGGCCACAGTGAACGGAGAGAGCAGGTGCATCTCAAGGGGGCGGTGCTGCTCAGGCCATTGCCAAGAAGAGCCAACAATCTGGACTTTAAAGTCTCCCAATTTTTTTTTAAAGATTTTGTTTATTTATTTGAGGCAGACAGCATGAATGATGGGAGCGTGTGGGAGAGGGGCAGAGGAAGAAGCAGGCTCCCCACTGGGCAGGGGGTCCCGATGCGGGGCTCGACCCTAGGACCCTGGGACCATGACCCTGAGTCAAAGGCAAACGCTTCACCAACTGAGCCACCAGGTGCCCCTAAATTCTCCCAATTTTTATTTTTATTTTTTAAAAGATTTATTTATTTATTTATTTATTTATTTGACACAGAGAGAGAGAGCCAGAGAGCACAAGCAGAGGGAATGGCAGAGGGAGAGGGAGAAGCAGGCTCTGCATTGAGCAGGAAGCCCGACACAGGGCTCAATCATGACCTGAGCCGAAGGCAGACGCCCAACCATCTGAGTCACCCAGGCGCCCCAATTCTCCCAATTTTTAAATGTTAGTAACCGAGAACACTGTTGGCCTAATACAGCCCAGTTGTATAAACAGTAAAGGTCCCCGCTCTGGGTAACAGTAGCCCTGAGCTATGGCTCACAGCATACTGAACAAAGTAGGACTGGATTTCAGCCCACACTTGCCCTCTCTGGCTGGGTGCCCTTGTGTAGTGAACAACTTATACAAATGTGCTTAGCCTTTAAAGCAAACAGTTAAATCAAAACGGTAATACTTTGCAGGCCAACCAAAACTGTATCCAGTTTGCAGACTGTCATTCTGTGGCCTGTAGGTTAGAGACAGAGTTCCTTCCAGTCCTTAAATCAGAGATGGTCAAGTGCCATCCTGCCAGTGAGGACGTTGAAGGAATTAATGGTTACAAATGGTTACAAAAGTTACAAAACTTTTTTTGTAACAAATGATTACAAAAGCCCCGGACCAGAAATAGGTAGAGGCGGTTCTGCCCCCCTCACCTGCCGCGCAGATGGGGCGGCCTCTCGGACCTGCTGGGCCAGCTTGGCCAGGGTATTGACGAGCCAGCACTGGCGGTTAAACTCCTCTCTCAGGCCCTTGCCACAGCAGCACAGCAAGGCTGCCAGCAGGTACTGGTAGCGGATGCTGAACTGAGAGTCTTTGAGGCCGTCCTTCAGGAGCCTGCAAGGCAAAGTGGGGGTAGGTCGGGACACTTGGGATCACCAGCAAGGGTGTGTGGAATGGCAGGGAGGGGTCAGATGCTTTTCCAACTCCCTGGAAAACCCCTCCCAAGCCCGGGAGGGAAAAACAGACTCTGTATGCATAGCTCACACAGAGGTGTTCACCTGGATCCCAGTCTGTGCCCGCTCTGCCTTTATTTAGAGCTCAAAGCCCCTCTGTGGCTCCCTTCTCCTTTCTATCTCTGCTGAGTGCAGATGGAAAGGAGGGCCAGGGAAGATGCTCACTGTCCCCTGGGGACTGACCCCCCTCCCAGGGGAGGGAACAGTGCTAGCCTGCAGCCACACGGTAAGTCAGCAACGTCCTGGAACCCCGACGATTCAGCTCCCCATCCTTGCCCACCAAAGAGTAAAATACTCCTGATCCGAGGACGCATGTTTGCCTGCCACCTCTCCACACGTGGCTTACCAGAAGAAGTAGTGAGTCACTCTCAAGTCAGAGACGGCTCGTTTCAGGAGGAAGCGCACCAAGGGGCTATCCAGGTAACACTCGTACTTCAGGGCCTGTTTAGGGGAAAGAGAAGGTTATATGGCCTGCCTGTCAGCTACACCTGCCACTATCCCACCGGGGACCCTGGGCTCTACAAGGAGAATGCACACAGACTTGGGGCCGGGGGACAGATCCTCAGAACTGGAGGGAAGGCTGGTCCGCTCACCTGCACAAGCTGAGGCAAGTAGTCGAGGAGCTCAGCGTCCGACAGCGAGCCAATCCACTGGACGGCCATCCTTCGCACCTCCTGGTCCGGGAAGCTGCAAAACAGAGCCCAGCCCCCTGACACCCCAGCTGCAGGCTCTGCAGCCCAGGAGTGAGCCAGCACCCTCACAGCTGGGCTTCAGAGACACGGGTGGAGAAAAGGCAAGGTCCCTCAGAGTCTGCCAAAGCCACCAGAAGAATCCTTAGCTCCTTGTCTGGATAGCAACCCTTAAGAATGGCCCTGTCCCCTGGTCAGAGCTGGCATGGGGTCACGGAGGAACAGGACAGTGGCCACTTCCATTCCTTGTATGAGTTAAAGAAAACTGGACAAAGTCTTCAACCCCATTCCTGAAAATCTTTTCCTCAACTCCCACTGTGCTAGAAATTCCTGTCACCGAAGAGCCCTTATGTGGATTAAAACATGATGGTACCATCCTTTAATGCAAAGCCAGCCAGGTGAAGAATAGAGAATCATGGAGTTTTATATAAGCCAGTACCCAATGGCAGAGTTTAGTTGAGCAGAGATTAGCAAAAATGTGGTCTCAAAAAGTCCTGAAGGCGAGACACATGGTTCACGTACAGTTTAATTACCAAGAGCAGCAAGAAAGAAGCCAAAAATACTGGGTACCATCTGGAAAATGCAGCCCCGGGGGTCTGAAACTGGGAGGAGCATGTCCCCAGAGAACCCTTCCGAGGGGAAGAGGGAAGAGAAGACTGTTAAAGTCGAACTCAGTGGTAAGGTTTGGGTCACCCAGGGGTGTGCACGTGTTAAGACTCAGCCAACATACAGGTAAGCCATAGGCATTTCCTTATATGTAAATTTTGCCTCAAAAGAAAAAACGAACAAACATTGAGTTCTAGTTAATGATATACATACGCTGATGTATTTAGAGGGAGGTATGATGTTTGCAACTTACACTGAAATGTATTAAAAAAACACGATGGGTTGAAGGTTGGATAGAGGGAAAAACACGCAAGAAAGCAAATATAGCAAATAGTTAAAATGGTTAGAATCTAGGTAGTGGGTACATGGATGCTCACTGTAAAGTTTTCGGTTTCCAAGTACGCTTGGAAAATGTTCCTAATGTCACACTGTGGGGAAAGGAGGCAAAGAAAAAGCAAAAAAGAAGTGAAGATGCCCTGAATTTCCTAACCCACTTTACCATTTTCCCCAGGGCTGTCTCAGGCTAGCGGTGGGCAGTGCCAAGCCTTGGCTTCTGGAAGGACTCGTGGTCAAGGAAAGGTGGGTGTTACAACTCACGTGGCATGCAGGAGCCCCAGGGCATCCTGGTGATTCATGTGGGTCCACTGCTTCAGGAGAGCATAGATGTCGGGCAAGCAAGCCCACTCCCAGCTGGGGGCGCTGGCGAGCACCAGGGGGAGGGAGTTCACCTCCAAATGGCAATAGTATCGCTTCTCCCACAGGCGCTTCTTGTCGGCCTCGGTGAGCCTGCGGGTGGGGGTTGCAGGGGAGGTGGGCGAGAGCACTGTCAGCCACAGGTTAGGGTACTTACTCTCCAAAAGAATGCTACACATTCTCCAGTTCAGTGGTTCCCAAACTTTGCTGCACATTACAAATACCTGGGGAGGTTTATAAAGTCCCCATGCCCGGGCCACACCGACACCAATCGAGTCAGGACGTCTGGGGAAACCAGGCATTGGTATTTTTAAAAGATCCCCAGGTGACTGCAATGTGTGAAGCAACGTTTGGGCACCAGGGCCCAAATCTTATCTTTGATGCCGACATCTCAGGACAGCTCAGACTGAGGCAGAATGCGCAGGTCAAGGGCACCCAATCTGCCACCCCTCCTGCCAATGCCCTTAGAGCACCACTCTCAAGATGAGCCACCAGAGGGCAGTGGTCCCCACATGTCCGGGTCTGGATGGCTGAGAAGCCTCTGCGGCTTCCCGGGGCCAGCTGGAGGTTTTATAGAAGCCACAGCTAATTAAGCCTTGCCTGAGATCAGGTGTCTAATGGCAGAAGGGAGCTGAGGGGCTAATGAAGCAAGGGGTCAGCAGAGGAGTGCGGGCAGGGGGATCTGTAGTCACTCAGCTACTCTGGCTCCTTGGGTGGGTGGGATATGAGGGAGAGATGAGCCCCGTCTCCCTTGCCCCCCTCAAAACACACACACACACACACACACACACACACACACACACACACACATGAGCAGGCAGGGCAGGAGCCCCCATCCCACCAGCTCCTCCAGTTCCCCTCCCCCTCCAATCCTGGTAAGAGAAGCGGCCCCAAGGATGACATCAGCTTGGACTTGCTTACCCTTGAGAGCTGCCACCCTGCCCTGACACCTGATCCTTTGGAAAGTGAGGGCCAGAGAAATGCAAAGGCTGTGGGTGTGGAAGGAGCAGAGGTGGGGGAGGGTGGTAAGGACAGGAACCAGCTGCCTCCATGGATAGCAAGTAGTAGACAGCATATCTGGGGTGTGGGTCCTCTGGCAAGCCGAGTCTGGGCCAGGTCCCCATTGTGGGGATGGCATTCCTAGATCCAATCAATCTCCTGACCCCGGTCTCTCCGCTCTGCATAGTGTCAGCTCAGGAGAAGAAGCCTGGAGGCTGCCCCAGCAGAGCCATCTCTCCACTGCGTCCTGCCTCGGTGGCAATGCCCACCCCATCGCACCTCTACTCCCAAAGCAGCAGGGCGGGAACCTGGAGCTGGCAGGTGAGAGGTCAGACAGCCTGGGGCCTGAGCCACACGTGTGGAAAGCCCCGGGCCTCACCAGTACAAGGACTCCTTCTGCATGATGTTCTTAAGCACACGTTGGTCTTCCTCCCGGAGGCTGCCAAACACATAGCGGGGGCTGAACTTGTCTCCAGGGGGGCTGGTGAACTTGATGTCGAAGGCTGAGGTGGGGAAGTCGATCTGGGGGATAGCGTCAGGGAAGTGGGGTGAGAGGACAGGCAGGTGAGCGAGTGAGAAGGTGAGCCGCCACCTTCCCGGCTCTCCAGCACCTCTGTCTCAGGCCGGAGGTCCTGCCTTTCTCCCTCCCTCCCTTCCTTCCCTGCAAGGTTGCTTGTAAAATACCCCTGTTGGACTTGGTGGGAACTTGGGACTCTGGGGAAAGCCCCTTCCAATTGTCACTTCCAGCAAAAAATTAGAAGAAAACAGAGCAAGAGAAGAACTAGGCAAGTGAGAGAGAGGTTGGGGGGAGATGTAGCCAGGGGAGGGGGCGGCCCCAGGCCAGAACTTTGAACAGACGTGTCACCAGGCTGAGCCACTGGGAGCCTCCAAGAGGGAGGACCCACAGTACCTTCAGGGGTGGCCCTGGAAGGCACTGCTGCCTGATGGGAAGTGGGACCACATGCCAGGTGAGGGCCCTACCGACTCTCAACCCTGTGGCCCTGGGTCCCCTTGCTCTATGATCCTCATCCTCTGAAGCCGGGTATCAGAGCGGAGTGGGTCCTATGTTCCCTCAATCAACAAATGTTTATTGAACCCTGATACGTTGCCAAGCAATGTTCTAGGTCCTGGGCATTCAGTCTGGTTAATTAAGAGAGACAAAAACGCCTGCCTCTGGAGCTTTCATTCTGTATCATTCTATTTCATGCTATGTCCACTTTGATATTCCAGATTCCATACCAAAGCATCTCATGATCATAAGGGGAGCCAGAAACAAGTAACTAGACCTTGGGCTTGACCAGCTCCTCCTCTCCCCAGAGGGTGGGTCCACTCTGGGAGCCAACTGGGTGGCTGGCTGCACCGGGGGCTTTCCCTCAGGCCCCAAGAGGGGACAGCTCAAATTTTATCAGACTCAGTAATACATGGGCTCAATACAAAGGACTCAAAGTGGCTGAGCCCCGGGGCGGGGGAGGGGGGGTGCTGTGTGCAGGTGCTCAGGCCCTGCCTTCGGCCTCCTTGAAATCAAAGTTAACCCCCAGAAGATGGCACACAGATTCCACAGAACTCACCCTCCCACCCCGGGTCCAACCAAATTCACCCATTTGCTCCCATCACATCAGGGCCCTGTGCCCAACGTGTCAGCGATTTCTCTTACTTCCTAGCCCAAACCTCCAGGCCGAAAACTCGGAGCTGGCTCTTGGGCAGTCCTGAGCAGCGGATAGCAGGGAGGGTCCTGGGGCTGGGGTCTCACCTGCAGGATGACGCTATCTGGCTGGTGGAAATTAGGTGCGCTCCAACGGGCACTGGGGTTTTCCTGTGTTGCTGGCCATAAGCCCAGAAGCTTCCGACCACAGGTCAGGACTCTAAGGAGAATGGAGGGGAGGGGAATGAGCCAACAATGGTTTTCCTCCTGCTCCCCCATCCAAAAATCTGCCTTTGAAGCCACCACCCAAGTCGGTCATTCTTCTCTTAGACCATAGGCTCTTCCTTCTTCCAGGTCCTATAAAAGCACACCCCCTCCAGGAAGCCTCTGAATGACCTGGTGGTGGGGATGCCCCATGAGGCAGAGAGGTGGACTAGATGACCTCTAAGGCCCTCCAATTACAGGGCCAGATGACATTACCCAAGCACTCTGTTTCCACACATGCACGTACCACCCCCGGCCCCGTCCTGCCCAGAAGCTCTTGGTCACATCAACTATCCTGGTCTCTACTCCTGTGCCTTGCTCCCCCAGCTAGGGCCCTCTGGACTCTGTGGGTGAGCCCCACATGGCCAACTGTCCCAAGGGGCACTGGCCAGTGCAGCACCAGGCCCCTCTCTCCATCACCCTCCTTCCCTTCCAAGGCCAAGAAGCCACTGGCGTGGGAACCACGTACTGCCTGAAGTTGAAGAGTGGGGTAGTGACCCAGCCCAGGGCTTCCGGCAAACGCCGCTGCTTATTGGCCTCCGAGGAGCTCCCAGGCAAGGGGATGGGCAGAGCGTAGAGTGTGGCACACAGCAGGGTCTCCCGAGGCAGCCGGTTCACCTGCACAGGGAAGCAGATCCTGGGGAGGACAAGAAACCAAGTCAGGAGGTGCCACCCTTGTGGCGTCAAGGGGCAGGAAGTGGCCCAGGAAGTCGAGCGGAGGCTGAGAACTCGACCTGCCTCTCG